ATTCTCTAAATTCCACCATTCTTGTTCAATTATTTTGCATTAATATGCACAATAAATGAAACTTGTTCGGCTGATTAAAACTCAAATCAGTCGTCCAATTATTTTCTCTAGATCTCAAGTGTTATTACAAAGTCGATGTTATTACAATAAAATTAAGATCTATGTTTACATAAATTTCCTTCGAAATCGATATATTTTCGACATGACTATGAAATCATTGTCAGAACATGTCGAAACAGGGTTCAAAACACGTGAATGCCCTTTAAACTAAACTGCACAATCAATATGCATCTATCGCATTGCCCGGCCTTACACTTCTCTCAAACTTTGCCCGATCATTCTGACTATCCCGAAAACGACTTGCTTATATGAGTCCGCTAAGGCCATGCTCTTTGAGCCCGTTGTGTGTCGTGACAAATTCGCCGTTTGCAGCTACGGGAGTGAGAGGGGAGCGGGGCGGGCAACGGGGTGTTTTTCGCCCCGACGAATGACGTCACCACACCTCGCAGGGCAATCAATAATATCGATCGAAACTCGCATCTCGCCTGTAGTTTTTCGTCGCCGCGCCCCATCACGACGACTATTCGTGACTTCATGGTCTTCCAGCGTACAGATGCTTCTTTGTTTGAGTCCTGAATCGCTAAGATAGTGTGCATTCATTTTTTAGTAGCTGAGAGGTAGCTTTTGGCTCTTAAATGTATTTGTTGATAATTGATTAGGCCGGAGTTATGATATCGACTTTTTTATTCATTAAAAGGCACCTTAGCGAATCTTCCATGCTTTATAGCACCTCCATCAGTCTCATTCGGTATCATAATTCAAAGAAAAGCCTGTTTTCAACCATTACGTTGTATAGGTAGTTATTGATTGTTACGCCAATTATGCTAAATGTGCTGTGAGGTTAATGCGGGAAAATCTCTCTATCCTAACTTAACTAACTTATGCAGGCCAGGTTTGGGCTAATTATGACAATGGTGTTTGAACGAAGTAGTGCAATTGAGTGCATAGATATTGATTGAGAGAATGAGTAGGGAAGACCCAAGCCTGGTCTGAGGTGCTTGGAACCAGTTTATGCAAAGAGGAAAAGGAATGCTTATAGTTTGATGGGCGACATGTGTTGTGATCATGCGAAGTTCCATCGTAATGTTAGATATTGATTGGTAAGCTAAACGATTTTTGATTTGGAAAAGTAATGCATTTTTTATACTGCAAACTTAAGCTTTTGTCTGTTTTTCTAGCTTTTTTATTTACTATGATTATTTGAACTTTCAATTGTTATTTCCGCACTTTGATTCCCTACTTTCTTTCTGATCTTTTTAGGTTGTCTCAGCTTTCTTTTCTTTGATTAATTGTCAAGCTTCTGAAGTGTATAGTCTAACAAGTAATGCTTGTTCTCAGCGTTTTCTTTTCTTAATTTTCAGCAGAACAGCTTTTACTAGCTTTATCTATGGAGCTAGTTTGAGTGCAAGTTTTTTCCCTAATTAAGATAGTATGGGAGTGTTTGCTGAGAAATTTTAAAGTGATGAACAATGTGGGATACCTGCTTTTCATCAGGATCTTTACCAGCGGCTTGTATTTAATAGTTAATTCTATTTGAAGGGTACTGATTGAAATGATTGATCTGATTTCATTAGTAAATCATATGTTAATAAATTTTTGCATCATACGTGTCATGTGTTCATGAATCACGAGAAAACATTGCTAAATAGGAGTAATTAGAATCGAATTTAACACGAGCTAAGGTTAGACTCTCAGATTTGCGTACCTCAGGATGCACCTTTCTTTTTCTTTGTCTTTAACTTCATACCATTTCAGATGGGTAATTTCCATGGGCTCATGCGCCAATGGCGGAGGATATTACCATTATTCCTATTCAGTAGTTCGTGGATGTGATCGTGTGATCCCAGTCGACATCTACGTTCCTGGATGTCCTCCTTCTGCAGAGGTAAGCATGACTGCTACTTATCATATTTTAAATAATGATCATGGTTTGGAACTAGTCTTAAAATTGCTTTAGTGACATTCTGCAAGTGCAGCTTTTTGTGGGAAAAAAATGTTTGATTGCTATGAAATATGGCCTGCAGAACGTGGTTTCATCACAATTGTTGGATCAGTTTTACCTTTCGTTACGCAAAGGGGGGATTTGTACATAATGCATGCAAATCGGACATCTTCTTACAGCTAAGCTCATATCTGAACATTCTCAACTTAAACCAAAACTTTCTAATAGCTTAAGGAGCACCAGGTTTTTGCGTTCATGACTGGTATAGCCATGGTACTGCTTGTTGTATATGTAAAAGCGACTTAACCAGAAACCTTCCAATTTATTGAGTCGTTAGTTACACTTTTTCAGCTTTATTGTATGAGGCAACTCAAAAAGTTGGTATTGATTCCTCTATTGTGTGCAATTAGTCAGTAGACTGCAGGACTAGTGTGAATCATAGCCTCTTGCTGTATATGTACGGCGTTGATGTTTGCGAGCGATCAACTTGATAGTTAGAGGGAGTAAATTAATGAGAGTGGCTATAGCAATTTTTATGATGTAGCCACACCTGCTTTTTTTTCTAACCGCTTATACTTTGGAAGTGCATAGCTGTATATATGTCCTTGAAGTTCGATTTTTGATG